AACTTTTGAGAAAAAAAAAGAGATCCATTTCCGAGACCTCCTTGAAACTTTTTTTTTATCCGGCTTACGAGAGGCGCGCGCGCTATCACGGTCGTATAATTTTTCTTCACTCTCTCTTTCTCTCCCTCCTCCTCCCCTTTTCATCCTGAACTTCGACGTCACGTGTTCCATTCTTTCGTCGTCAAAGGCCTCTCCTCCCTCTTTATCGCTCTCCGAAGTGACTCGCTTGTCCCATGTTTCCAGAATTGAATATATGCACGTGCAGTCCTAGTTACACACAGTCGTCGGAATATACATAGCGTGACAGAAATACACGTATCCGCGTTCAATTCGTCTCGAAACATTTTACGACTGTGTATTGGTGCATGAGTCAGAAAGTTGATTAGCGGCAAACGATAACTATATAAACAGGAAGTTAAATTTCCTACTTGCAAAGATATTGCGAGAATTGTGCGAAGGTGATAAAAATCGAAATGTTTTTTTTTTTGTACGCGAATAATAGATCGGGATCGTGGAAATGTACTGTTTTACCCAGGAGCTATTTCTCATTTTTACGTCATTTTAGTTACGTACGGCGCGGGGTTGGAAAGCGGGGTTGGAAAAAATGTTTTGCTTCGAATCCACGCATGTAGGTCCGTATAATGCTTTTACCGAAAGTAGGGCGACCGTTTCGATCTTGAAACCACCCTCTTCTCGACTCGCTGGAATTTCACGATCTGATGCGTTTTTGAAACGTTTCAACGTCGCCTGTATACCGCCTGTGCCTGTCGTGTATTTCTTTTTCTGAATATATCCAATATAAAACAAAAGGGACCTCCGACGCGAAAAGGGAACGAGATAAATGAGAAATAAATAGGAAACGGTACCACGAAAGTCGATATCGACGCAAGTTCCTACGACATCGAGGTTTATAGTTTATAGTTTTAGACTTGATCGTTAAGAAGAGGCATAAGTTTCCTTGAAAATTCTTTCGTCGAGCGAAAGTTTCCTATCGATGATAACTTTCGTACGTACGTACATTGTAGAAGTAGAATCGGTCTTTCATTGTTCTTTGTTTTTTTTTGTATCGTATCGTCAACTTATCGAACACGGTGGCGTATAAATAAAAAATTAGAACAAAGTGGAATAAGTGGAGATGGAATAAATAACGGAATAAATTTGAACGTTGAAATGTCGTAATAAATCCATCGATTCGCTACTTCTCTAACACGAATCGTTTTTCTCCTATAGCAACAACTATACCTGTTACGAGGAATTATACTTCCTTCCCGGAAACCATTGTTAAACGGGCTGTCTTCCTTATCGACTGGTGTCACAGCCCAGCTTGAACGGTGTAGGACTCGAGCTTGCAACCCTCGATTGAAGCACTCCCGAAAGAACTGCACCCTGGCGGGTAAGCCCCGATGGGGATAATTCGTAGTTCCGGTAATATCCGCCAGAGCGGCGATCCTGTCATCCCTCCACTACTTTTCCCTCATCTGCGTAGGTAGAAGGACAGGCTTAACAATTTTTCTACCCTCGAGCGAAAGGTCTTTCCACTATTTCCTTCCCCTTTATCGATCTCCCAGGGATCTCGTTTCTGTTCGAAGGTCGAACCAGCCTGGGCAATCGCGAGGATCTCGAATCGTAATTTCTCCGCTGCTAGACGACGACTGATCGTCGGAATTTAGTGGTTGGTATTCAGAAATTACTATCCTCGTGCAAACGTCGGAATGCATCCCCTGTACGAGGCGTCGTTGCTTGGCCGTCACACATATACCCCCCCACACATACACACACACGCCCCGACTACGAACGACTTTCCTCGTCTGTCCCTCTCTATCCTCAGCTATCCGATTCCCGGTGACTAGAGGTGGATAGGTAGGTAGGTAGGTAGGTAGGTAGGTAGGTAGATATCGACCCCACGAGATATCAACTTCCTTCTTCTCCATCTCTCTGTCTTCGCCTTCCTTCCTATTTCTTCCTTCTTCTATAAAAAGCCCCTATCCTTCCTAATTCCCTGCTCCTCCGTTATCTTTACTTTTCTCGCGCGTTTCTCTTTTTTCTGCCTCGCCCTTTCGCCCCCTCTCCCTTCGTCCGTCTTCGTTCCTTTCACGTCCATTTTTCTCGGGCCTATCCTAATTCGGGACGTTGCGTTTAACGAAGATAGGCCACGACTTAGCCGTTAAACGCGAGCCCCGTGGTCCCTGGCAAGAAGTACCGAAGCAACTCGACGAATCCGAGCACGAGCTCCTTCGGACCCGGCGATCTTATTGATTGTCTTAGCTTTCCTGCCGTCATGCTCTCTCTCTCTCTCTCTCTTCCTCTTTCACATCGCCTGGTCTGCACGGGAATACTTCCACACATAAAGAGACGGTCTCTTCTATCTGTCTCTGTTTGATCCGCACTGGAATAGGTACACAGGAATTTTCTTTTTCCCTCCCCCTTCCCCCCCTCTTCTTTCCTCTCTTTCTTCCACTCCCTTTAACTCTCTTTCCATCTCGTCCAAGACTTCTCAGTCTCCCTCTCGTTTCTCTTGTTTTCTTCTCTTGGTAACTCGACGAGCTATCGTCGTTGACGACTAACGACCGGCGACTTACGTGTCCTGCTAACTTTGCCCCGTGTTCCACGAAATGAACACTTACGTGATAAAGGAACAAGAGAGAGAGAGAGAGAGAGAAAGAGATGGGAGAGGCATAAAGGGGGAAGGGAGGTTTGAATAAGAGGGAAAAAGAGAAAGCAAAGGATTGAAGGATTGCCGGAGGGAGAAGGAGGGAAACAAACGGAGAAAGGAGAGGGGAAAGGGATAGATAGTTGGACAGGAACCTCTGCCAACGTTCTATTTAAAGCCGTGGGGGTAGCAGCAGCTAGCTGACTGGTAATTTACGAGCTTATACCAAAAAGTTGGACACCTTGGGGATGGCTCCGCACTTTGACACGTGACCTACTTTTATCGGGTTACGTAATTGATCGTCTCGCGCTTGCCCCGTTTGCGTCGCGAAATCTACGAGGGCGAATCCCCTTTCTCTTTCTTTCTATCTTCCCTTGTCATTTCCTCCCTTCTATCTCTTTTTATTTTTCTTGGTCATCACCTTGATCTTCCATTTCTATCTCTCTTTCTCTCTCTCTCTCTCTCTCTCTCTCTCT